ATTGACCCGGTAAAGTACAAAAGCGTGGGCTCGGGTTTTAACGTGGTGCTAAGGGAGCAAGGGGTGAGAGGCTTCTTCAAGGGGTGGGCCCCGACTTTGCTCGGGTATAGTGCGCAGGGAGCTTTTAAATACGGTTTATACGAATATTTCAAGAAGTATTACTCGGATGTTGTGGGCCCCGAGCAGGCCGTCAAGTACAAGACACTGATATATTTGGCGGGCTCGGCTTCGGCCGAGGTTATAGCCGATGTTGCCCTTTGCCCGTTTGAGGCAGTTAAGGTTCGAGTCCAAACTCAACCGGGCTTTGCCAGGGGTTTGGTTGATGGGCTTCCAAAGATTGTCCGGGCCCAAGGGGTTGCCGGGTATGCTTGCATTTTATTTTAATTTGTGCATTTGTTTGTTTGGTTTAATTTGTCATAAAATTAATAATAATTTTGAGGATGGATGGATGGTTTTATGCAGGCTGTACAAAGGGATTGTTCCACTTTGGGGACGACAAATTCCATGTAAGTATTGTAATAAGAGGCGTTCCATGTAATTTCGAGATTTCCTAGGTTTTGTATGTAGTTATTCTAATTTATAAGATGACATTAGTACGTAGATTGTCTTAAAATTTATAAAATCAAAATACTTCAACGCTAAAGTAGTGAATCAAGTTGTAATTCCATCCACAATGTATACATCCTTTAATTGTTTATGACCCCTAAACCACATTCTAAATTAATTTATTCTAAAACACTCAACTTAAACTAGGAAAATAAAAATAAAAATTATATATTGTTGGACTTACTGCAGATACAATGATGAAGTTCGCAACGTTTGAGAACATTGTTGAGGGCATATATAAGTATGTCATCCCGACTCCAAAGAATGAATGCAGCAAGAGTTTGCAGCTCGGCGTTAGCTTTTCCGGTGGTTACATAGCTGGCGTTTTTTGTGCCGTTGTTTCTCATCCTGCAGACAATTTGGTCTCTTTCCTCAACAATTCTAAGGGAGCGACTATTGGCGATGTGAGTCGATTGATTAAACGTTAATATTTTTTCTTTTTAAATTTAATTTAATACAAGTTGAGAATCGATCGCCTTTTTTATCGATGGTTTGTAGGCTGTGAAAAAACTTGGGTTGTGGGGTCTTTGTAGCCGAGGCCTCCCCCTTCGTATTGTCATGATCGGTACACTCACTGGAACACAGTGGGGTATCTATGATGCATCCAAGGTCTTCTTTGGCCTGTAAGTTTTCTCTTATGCATGTAATTAATGTATTCATTTTTATTTTGGTGCATAATATGTTTGATGCCAAGTAAATATATTTTCCCATTATTTCTCAAAAGGGGAAAAAAATTAAAGCAATCCAAACCAACCATTATATTTTCCCATTATTCCCATTAGTTTAGTTTTTGTTTTCTGTTGGTGGGTGTATTGTGAGGTATTTGTTAGCTTCTAGACGATCTTCGGATATGTCTTCCTGCTAGATTCAGTTCAGGAACTGTCTTATTATGTTGTCGGACTATTCTCAAGTTTGTAATTATGTGTTTTTTTTTTTTTTTTTTNAAAAATAAAAATAAAAAAAACCCAACCAAAATGTTATTATTGCTATTACATTTTTATGAGTATTTTTAAGCATGCTATGTGATTGTATTACAGGCCTACTACTGGTGGAAGTCCTGTCCCTGCACCAAAGTGAAGAAGAGAAATTTGAAATTTTGTGATAAAACATCACTACTTAAAATATTTATTAAAGAGAAGAATAAAGTTACTTCCCCATAAAAGTATAGTATTTCATAGCATAAATATGTATTTTTGTTAAAAATGTATGATGAGTCGACTCGACTAATGGTTAACTTGTATCACACAAGAATTTGTTCCATCATATAAGACACTTAAATTATGATCCCTACATAATATAGTTCATTTTCCTCTCTCTTTTTCCATGTAGCCACAACTTCAGGCATATCGTTTTCATTTAGTTTTTGTACAGGAGTCAAGGTAGGATAAAGGATATAAAATATTTTAAGAGTCATGAGATGAAACTTCACATTGTCTTACCACCTAGTGAAAATATCAAACATATCCTGTAATACAAGGTCGTGATTCATAATCTTGATTGTCCCGTCTCCATGCGAAATAGTTTCTCTATTGCTGGAAATAATTATTAACAATAGAGAAATAGATGCTCAACAATACTCAATTTTTATGATAGAATACTTCTCTAAAGAACACTTTTTTTATTAAGTAATAATAAATGAAACATAAGGCTCAAACTAGTTCCTTGATATTTTTTATTTATTTTTTATTTTTTTAAAAACTCTATTTCTTCTCGCTCTTGAAATATTTAGGAACTCACAAATTAAAAACGAGCTTTAAAATTGATCAAGGGTTTTACTCCTCTACATAAATTTTAACAAAGAAGAAACATACACGTAGGATCAGCTATCACGTGATTACAAAATCACAAAGGGTAAGAAGTTATTTTCACAACTCATCTTATTTGGTTGAAAGTCGGTAAACTTTAGATGAAACTTTCATGTATTAATTAACTCAAGACTAATTAAACCAATAAGTTTCAAATTTGTGAAATCTNACTTGTAACATCTCCCACACATACATGCAAAATCACACGTAATACTAGGCATTGACTGTGTTCTGATTACAGTGAAATTGCATTTAAAATAAAATAAAATCATCTAGCGCAAGTAAGCTGCTTAAAATTAGAATACAAATATTAAAAAGGAAAAAAATTAATAATAACTTGTTCACATACTTGGCTGTGTGTATGAGATATCAGATACCATAAATGTCATATTATGGGTCCAACTAAGAAGCCTCTAGCTAAAATCTAACAGATTCTTGGCATCAGCAGATCTAGAGAACATAGTCTTGGATAAACTAATAAATTCAAAATACATAAAGCAGACATAAGAAATTCAGTCACTGCCACGTTTGAAGTGTAGTTTTATGAATCTATGAGCATAAGAAGGGTATTTTTCCGAGATGTATGCTCGTAAACACTTCTGGTAAGAGAAGTCGATCTCTTCACCATCTGTTCGGACGACAAAGAGACATCTCGAATGACTGAAATGAGGGTGCCGGTCAACCTTTCACCAAAAACCCACATTCTTTAGTTGCTATACATTCAAATCCACCAAATAAATTCATCGCAAGAATGGTTTATCATGTCTTGGTTTAAAGAATGACAGTGAAATCATGGTATAATATCAAATCCATTCTTAATATATGCTTTTCCATGGNTCTTAAAAAAACTGAAAAGATGATACATGACGAAGAATGATATGCGGATGAACTCTCAACTATATAGAGATGAACATATTGGACAGTTGGTTTAATTAAAAAGGAAAAACAAAGAACTTGAAAGAAATATCATAGCCAGTTACAAAAAATCCAAGTGACTATTGAAACTAATCCAGGATGGAAGGTAATTTCTAACAAAACTAAGTCACTGTCAAGGTATACACTATGAAGCTAAGTGTGAATGACATATTGTCTGAATATATAACCATAACTAAGAATTCAGCGACGAAATAGCAGACTAAAGTTAAGAAATTAGAGTTTAATATAAAATTTGACCAACCATAATCGAATCAAGTCCACAACCAATCTTATCCTCGGAATGAGGATGATGCGCGAGAAGCTTATCAACAACAACTTTCTCATCATCCGGTGTAAGACGTTCTCCATCCATATATCTGGGCATAAAAAAAATATTAGTCCTCTCAAGATCCATCTAAAATTATATGATAGGAAAAAAACAAATGTTATTTGGATAAAAATAAAAATAAAAATTGTAGAACCATAAGAAAATAAAAAAAGAATATGTTAGAGCGTGAAATACATTTCTTTGAGGTGAAAATTTGGTAAGTACAAGGATTAGATTTCTACAAGATAGTTATACGGATAAAGATATGTCTGTAAACCTGCAATCAGCAGAGCCAACGCCAACTGAAATCCTTGTATTTTTTAGTTTCGATTGATACTTCAGATAATTCTTCATTTAGATTTACATTAGCTTTATTCTTTCTGTTCATGTCAAGTGACTTTTACTTATTTTCATCTACAATATATTAGCTGAGTCATGCTATCGGTCTTTTATAGGAATTTAATGGACGGGCAACAAAATGTTCCAGAAATACATCTAGCACAATCATGGTAAGGCGAGAAAGAAGCTTCGGGAGAAAATACTTTGCAATACGCCAATACCACACGAATCTGGATTAAGATTATTTATAATTTATGTTCAATCATCGAGAAATTTCTTTATAATTCATTTGTTAAGATCTGGGTTAAGATTAGTTATAATTCATACTCAACAAATTCTTTTATTGTTTGACTAAGTTATACTATGTATGTTCAACTATTCATTCATGAAGCCAATAAAACTCATGTACTCTAAGTCTTCCTTGAGAGCCAATGTAGGACATTACAACTTGTAACCTCGCAAGTCACTCATAATCAAAGATACCTTTGCACCTTTGAGATTTCCATTCCACAGCAAGTAAATAATTTAACTTATCACCTCTTATAGTAAACAACAAGCATGTCAAAATGAAATGGAGTGAACATGAGCTATGAAACAAAAATAATCCAGTCACATAGAAAAGCCAAAATCAAATAATTTAGAACTACGGCATTTTCCCAACCATGGGAAATATGCTCCTTGCATAAGAATTTCCTTCAACAACTTTTCATTTAAAATCAATATATCACCTGCAGACAAAAGTGTAGCAGACAAAACTTAAGTAAGGTGATTTAGTCAATCGGAAAACAGCAAATCCTCCGAATCCTCTTTTCTTCCCACATATAGGTTTCTTGTCATGATGTATATAACTTGAATGATACACTACTATACTTTTAAGGAGTGTTTCTCCAGTACTTACGAGATTTTTTACTTTCAATAAGATTACAAGGATTAGAATTAAAAACACAGCAATAAGTGCATCATTCCACTAAATAAAAAGGACAACACTAACTTCCCTAATAGATAGTCTGAAGCTAATATAACCGAAGGGACAATGCTTTTCCGGAAAACTATTTGTAGTTTGAATTTAACCATGAAAATAAACATCAGAAAGTGCTGTACATCTTACAATGTTGCCTACTCATAACTCATAACTGCTTCTACTTTACTCCAAATATATACACAGGATATTATATTTCACCTTAATTGACTACAATTTTGAACCTTAAGAGCAAGTTTGAACACAAATTACTAAATAATTACAAGATTGTAGCTAGACCGCAATAGTAGGAGCAAGTAGAACCATATATCATAAGAACGAATAACATAGACTCAAAAGATTAATAGACTGATGTAAAATAGTTGTCTGTTCTTCTAAAATAAACACTTCAGTATTTAACTCTCTCAACAAGTTTACTGGTTCACACTTCAAAGAACCACAACGTGAAGAATCTTCTGGTGGTGGTAATCAGAATTCAAATTTTATAGACGAGATAGCATCATAATTATATCATTGATACATAACAAAGAGAAAATTCTTCTAAGGATTTTTTTTTTCAAGTTCAATACATAAGAGAAAGGCACAATCACCAACTTTTTATCAATCTCCCTATTCCCATTAACTTTTCTACAACAAGGCGCTCTGATTTTGCTCTTATTATATCAATAATTTATGGATTATGTGGCTATATAACAAAACCTGCTATTGAATTTCCCAAACTAAAGAAAACGTAACACACTGAATACTAAACTGCCGCTATATAAGCATACCTTGATATGAAGTTCCAACAAAAAAGTATCAAACTGAATATTAAACTCCCAATAATCGATTAAACCATTGCCAACAGAAGAATCAAGAAAAAAATAACATTATATAACAAATTAAATTGACAAAAGAAATGTCGGGATAAAATAAGTTGGGAGAAGCCGGAAAAACCTATTAGAGTGGAGTATTTCTTTCACGAGGCAAATAGTGGGTTCAATATCCCCGAGTATCTCAGCTTCCTTGACCTTCCATTTCTGAAAATCCGGGTCGTCGCATCCTGGGTAATGGAGCGGGTTTTTCACGGATTTGGTGAGAAATAGCTGGCTAAGTGATGGTGTTTTATCGCCGTCGGAGCCAGTTGAATCGGTGGTTGAGACCGCCGAGTTGCAGAAGGTTCGAAGAGATATTACTGAGCCATTTATAAGGCAAAGACGGAGGTGGGGTTGGATGAGTCGGCGGTGGAGGAGAGGCAGACTTCGGAGGAGGAGGGGAGCAGCCATTGACGATGGACTGGTGCAGCTTTTACGAGTGTGCTTTTTTTCTCCAAAACCATGGATTTTTTTATAATCCACGCAAAGGGAGGGGGTGATTTATTTATTACAAAACAAAAAAAAATATGTGGACAAAAACAAAAAAAAAAAAAAAAAAGTGAAAAAAAATCAAAAGCACGTATTCTTAGAATACGTTTTTCTAATAAAAATTTATTAGAAAAACGTATTCTCGTAATACGTTTTACTAATATTTTTTAAAAATAAAAAAAAAATATATTTCCGTTTAATAGTGGAATAGAATTAAAAATAGTAACTATAAAACGTATTTTCGAAATACGTTTATAAATTTGAATTTACCAATAGAAAAATTAAAAACTAAAAACGAATTATACGAATACGTTTTACAAATAATACGTTTTACAATAAAATATATAAAAAAAAATCTCTCTTCTCCCTCATTTACGCATCTCGTTTCTGGGCGAAAAAATTTTTTCTTCTTCTGCGAGCGGCGAGCGACTCCGGTGAAAAAAAGAAAACACGATCCAATCCTACCCGAACCAAATCGACAACAACGACACGAGTCTCATTTCCGGTTAATTCATTCGCACAAGGTATATTGATTTATCTTAACTTTTTACATTGTTTGGAGTTGTTTGGAAAATTGGAATTGTTATAATATGTTTGAATGTGGTGTTGTTTTGGACATTAGGAATTGTTAATTGTTTATCGAATATGTGTATATGTTGAATTGGAGATTGGAATTTTGTTATAAATTGTTAATTGTGTATTTGTTGGTTGTTGTTGGGCTTAGGGTTTTCGAAATTAGGGTTAGAATTGGGGCTTTCAAATTTATCCGAAATAATTGAATTTTTTTGGTGTTGGATTAGATATTAGACACCATGTGTTGTTGTAATTGTGAAGAATTGAAAGTGTCTTTTTGCAACAGGTATTAATGGCATTTTCCGGTCCATATTTTGTTAATTTGTACTGGCATTTTGCGACAGAAAGGTTAAGTGAATTTGTTTTATTTAAAGATCGTCCGGATGGGTCATTGTTTATTCCGGAGAGGATATCATATCAACAATTGGTAGAAATGATT